GGTCGCTGGCAAGGAGGTGAAGCTGGGGTTTTCGGCGCAGGAAGGAGCGGGGTCGAGCAGAGCAGAGGATGGGGTACAGAGACGGGATCGAGCAGGCGAGGAGGAAGAGGGAGGAGGCGAGCGGGAGTGGGAGCGCGATCGAGCGGGACCAACCGAAGAGGAAAAGGGGCGAATTGAATTGTATAGCCGAAAATTTCAGAGCCGTTATGCGAATAATTGAATGATTTCCTTTCAGGCACACAGCTTAAATGGAAAAGTTTAATGGGGGGATTAATTGATAAATTTGAAATTTAAAATTTGAAATCTGAAACTGTTTAGCCTGTGTTAGGCCCGAGTCCAACCCGAATTGCACTCGAGCTGAGCTCGAACCGTGCCCCGTTAAATAAAAAAAATGTACATTGATATTCGTGCTAGTCGCTTGCGCACGAAACCATAACAATGCGGGTGTCCTTAGCTAAAGTTGCGGTTGTCCTTAGCTAAAGGTGACGTCCCGGACGCGTCGACGCGGTCCGTTTTGTCATCTGGGGTCGTCCGGACGAGTTCGCCGACGGGCGCATCGATTCAAGTCAAAGTTATGTGTGGTGCAGTGAGTGCGTGAATTGCAGCGTTCGCGAGTAATCGAGTCACAAATGATTCACCTAATGTTGTTTGATCCTATAGGAACTCATTTTCAGGCCCTCTACATGTTGGTCCTTAGCCCTTGCAACTAGAAGTTGAGTGCTTGGAACCACTCATGCGAGTTCTTCACAAAAATGAGTCAAGAAGCGGTTTGAAGTTCTACGGGAGGTGGGCTTCATTACTAGTCCGCTAGGATGGTCAACAAGAAACTCCTAAGGCTAGATTATGAATTATGGGAGTAGGAGATTAAGACCTCACTAAAAATGAGGTCAACAACATCATCTTCATTTTGACTTTCTAAATATTACTTAGTATTAAATTTCTTCTAATTACTTGAACTTTTAAAAATCACGTACATATTCAATAAGTGGATTTTTGCTATTAAGCCAGCACATGTGACTGTTTTCCCTCTCAGGCGTTTTATAAAAAAATAAAAACTCAACCAAATGTTTAGCTTTCGAGAGCAAACTCCCTCGCCCTCCAGATATATGGCTCCTAACATGCAAAAACAATCACACCAGTGGCTTGTCAAAGATTCAAAACATGAGCAAATGATATCCCTTTAAATAAAGGAGAAACAAATCATGAAATTAGAGCCACTGAAATTTATATTTATAATAAAATGTCATGAGCTTGTGTGTGTGTGTGTGTGTGTGTGTGTGTGGTGGCTCGTGTGTGTGTGTGTGTGTGTGTGTGTGTGTGTGTGTGTGTGTGTGTGTGTGTGTGTGTGTGTGTGTGTGTGTGTGTGTGTGTGTG